GTTTTTTGGAGACCTCCCATTCGGGGGGGGGGGTTTTTCCCCTTTGGGGGGGGGTTTTTTTTTCGCAAATGGTTTTTCGGGATTTTTTTCCCCCCCCCGGGGGTTGGGGGGGGGGTTTAACAGTTAGGGGGGGAAACCCGGTTCCCCCCCCCCCCCCCCCCCTTTTGGGGGTTTTTTTTCGGGCCCCCCCCCCCCGAGCGTGCTCCCCGCTGTAGTGACCATAGTTACGATTTCAGATTTTGTTTATTTGCTGCGCTGAGAAGGACGCGCGCCTTCTCTCTCTCCGTACGCAATCGCGGCAACAGGGTACCTAGATAGTCGCCTGTGATGCCGCCAAAGCAAAACAAGGCAGCGGTAGGAATGTTTAGTAAGGAGGAGGCGTAGGTGACTTCTTTGTGTTAATGATAGATCCGTAGCAGGGGAATACTTCGAATTTCTTGATGCTCAGAGCAATATCAAATGACTGCCCCCATGCCCTCTCCTCGCTTCCCCAATAACGTGTTTGCTTCTTGGCAGAAGGCGGGGAATGTGGTGACGGTTGGCATCCCGTCATGTGCCACCTCCCGCTAAGCGTGTCGGTGCTGCCCAAGACCGCCGAGGGGGGGGAAGAGAAGGCGAACATGGCCCAGGTGATTCGGCGTCGCCTCCCCCCCCCCAGTGTGTTACTGCCTTGATTCGACGTCGCCCCCCGTGGTACTGCTCTTGATCGCACTCGCAAGATGCTTTCTTGTTTTCCCAGCCGCACGCAGTCGACGCAGTCGACAGCCAATTCATACTACATGACGATCATCATGGTCAAGTACTCTCCAGTCGGGGCGGCGTGAGCCGCCTGTTCGACTATTATTGTTGCTATTGTTGTTGCTCTTGTTGTTGCTGCTGTGCTTGCTCTCAAAACGTCGACGCGTGTTTTTCGACGCGTGAGCTGCCTCTTTGCCTAGGTGTGTTTGCACCTGCTGCATGCTCTCGAAACGTCGATTCGTGTGTTTCGACGTGCAGCACGCTGAATACTGTTCAACTCCCCCCTATCCCGCGCGCGTTGCGGAAATGAAGGTGCGTCATGTGGGTCCGAGAGTCGGTGGTGCGCCGGCAGGGGACGGTGATGAAACACTCCCTACTTCTTCCTCGGCGTCCGTGCGGGGCAAGGGAGGTCACTTGGAGTCACCCCCCGCCGGGCTTGAGCGGCTCGTGGGCGACGGTAGCACGCCCGCGTCGTAGTCTTCGCGGCCAGGCTGTCGGCGCTTGGAAACAGTCTTTTTGGTAAAAAACTGACTTTGGTTGGTTCTACATGGAGCTGCCCTTTTTGACGCGGTCTGTTGGCGCTTGGAACCATTTTTCTGACCAATAAAACACATGGGTTGGTTCTAGAGCTGCTAGTCTTGACGTGGTCTGTTGGCGCTTGGAACCGTTATTTTTTTGTCAACTTTTGGTTCTAGAGCTGCTCGTATTGACGCGGTAAAAGTGCGAACGCGTGCAAAAAAAATCTACGGTTGTGTAGGGCGATTGTTGAAGATCGGAAAGTATAAGACGTGTTGTACTTCTAGATGGAAATAATAGTCACGCGGGAAGAAATGTTGGTTCTCTGACAATGGTTTGGGGGGGGCACGAACCCATCGCAAGACGATCGATGGCCTGCCGTAGGTATGTGTGAGAGCGTTCGAGACTTCGGGTGTGGCGCCTCGCCATCTCCAGCACGTCTTTTTAGGGGGCGGAGGAATAACTTTTAAGGCATGCACGCGCAAAGATATCGGGAGGGGAACCTTGGGCTCGGGGTTGCGGAGCTCTAGCTCTCCTTGTGTTTTTGTCGTTGTTGGCTTCTTCACATGAACAGCCACTCCAACCTCCGCCCAGTACTATAATACCTTACGACCTTGATTATCAGGGTTGTGGTCTCGGGCTTTTAGGAAAATGTATCACTCTACTTGTAGGTGTGGCCGTCACGATCGGACGATGTTGTTCCGGGGGAGGGGTGGTTGTTGTACTCCGGAGTTTTTGTCGATGCGGGCTTCGTCCCGGGGTACATATAATAGCAAGAGGTGGGATGTTGTTTTGTCGACGAGCGGGGGTGTCGTTTGGTTATTTCTCCTGGTTGGTCGTTGTCGCGGTAGCGGCGGAGAGGGTGGAGACGGGGTGCAAGGAATGGGAGAGCGTATGGTGCGCGTGGTTAGTTGGTTTTTTAGGGCGCCAGCCCGGTTCCCCCCGTGCTGGTAAAGACGGGGTATTTTGACCGAGAGTATATAGTCTGTTTAACAAAACACGTGGTGTATTTTTTGTCGGAGTTTTGTGTCAGGCGGTGTCGGCGAGGTACCGTGCGTAGGTGGTGTGTGCGGCTGAATACTTGCAGGCGTTTGCTTGCTTTTTTGTCGACGAATAAAACAGCTTGACACGATATTTTCGTTAAGTCGCTGGAAGAAGGGAGGACCAGCGAGAGAGAAGATACATACGTGCGATCGCTGTCCTACTCAGCAAACAACCGCGTTGTTGCATCACCCATCACCCATCCACGAATTCGAACGGCCTACCGTAGAGTACCTCGAACTTCGTCGAAATACCACCCCCGACCCGAAAACCCAAATAGCAATGGGTCGCCCAGAGTTCATCGGGAACGGTATGAACCATAACACCTATAAGAGGGACAGGTCCTTGCGCCTGCCTGTCCTCACTGACACCTGCCCCCTACCCCACCTTCATCAGTGAGCCCATGACCTCTCCTTCCCAGGAAAATGTCGTGTCCCCAGAACAACTATTTAGTTGGAACCAATAATTCATATCATACACATGCGTGAGCGGGTCTATAGGTTGCTGCGCGTTTTACCCGTTCGAAACACATTGAATCAAACGATTGCTTTCTGAGATCAAACAGTGGTGGAGAGATATAACTGAACTAAACAGCATTCTCCATGGACTAGAGGCTTCGAGTACTTTAGGTCTGAGCTCCCAAGGTTGGAGTAATAGCCTATCGTCTAGTGATCAAGCGCATCTTCTGTGATGCCGAGTTCCCGCAGTCCCCTGATGATGTTAAGCGTTGACAGGTTGGCCCTGACCACGCCGTCGGTTTTTTTGGCCAGTGATTGGAGCTCCTGCCGAGGAATGAATGAGCACGACGACCATAAGTCATAAAAGACACGGATGGCGGAGGGAAAAACAAGCATCATGCCGATAATAATGCCACTTTCATACATCTCTTGCTCTTACCTTTGCAGTTTTTTGTGGAGAAGAGTACTTCTGCTACCGCTCGAATATCGTGTTCACTATCACACCTCATCTTGGTGGCGGCTTCGGCAACAAGCGCCCTACAGTGATGATTCTCAATTCCTCGACAAATAAATCTATAACTTTGTTGTTGAAGCAGAGGGAGGAAACCTTTGACAAATGAGAGTGATTGGCGAAACCGACCGAAACTCCCGCACACACAGGTCCGGGAAACGTCGGGGCTGTCGAAACGCACTCACTCCTGTAGTCCTGTGTCTACAATTCGACCATGAATAAACAGCGTCGAGGAGGCCTCCCTGCGCAGTCACAGTCATTTTATGCAGCAAAGAAGAAGCAAGCAATACCTGTCGCTTGAGACCATCAAGCCCATCGGCCCTCGTGTTCCCCTGTCCCGAAGCCCTGCGGCTTCCACCATTACTACTCCCGTTTCCAGCTCTTCCCGGTCCAGGCGTGACCGGTTCCCTCGCACCGAGTCTCCCCGAGTTACTATTGTCGTCCTGAACCGATCCATCATCGTTGGTGGTGTCGTCCTGGTTGCCGTCGTGTTGGAACGACTCTCCGGCGTGGTGCCTTGAATGGTCGTGGCCACTTCTTGCGGCCGTACCGTCGTCGCGGTCGCCCCTACCGCGGCCGACTGGCAGCAGTCGAAGCAGCTGTGGTCCATCCGTACGTCTGTCATCGGTAGTAGAACCATACCCTTCCCTTGATCGTGACGTACCTCGATGATCGTCGTTTCTGCTGTCGCCATTGCGACTGTTTTTCCAAGCTGCCAATAGCGAACTGGCAAGCCGCCCCAGTTCCAGGGAGGGGAGGTAGTACGATGTAAGGGTGTGGCTGAGAATGACAGCGCCAGCCTGAAACGTCAGCCACCGGATTTTCTCCTGAGTGAAAACCTGCGCAGCACCAAAATGTGGGGGAGGCGACGGGCGACGGGTGGTACCTGTAATTTGTTGGACACCTCCAGCTCAGGGGTAGGGCTGTGGCCGCTTGTGTGTCTCGTTTCGAAGGCAAATACCACCGGTTCTATCCGATTAGTATTGTACCCAGGTATGTATGGAATGCTCTCTATGGAATCGAGGCGACTGCTCTGTTTCCTAAAAACGCCAATCCACACCATAACCCTCCGATTTTTCGTCAAGAGACTTTGAAATTATTTAAATAATAATAGAGACAACATGTGGATGATAGTATTTCCTTCATTACGACCAATCGCACAAGGAGCCACCAAGGTGTAACAATGGACTTTTGAACCGATCTTGTCGCTGTTCAAATCACTTCGAGCCCATTCCAATGCTTCTCCCCCGTCGCTTTAGTCGAACTTATTGTTGGCCATTATGCACAATGGAGTACTCTCGCGCGTGTTTTACTCTTCATTTCGGTCACGGAAGAACAAATAGATCCACGTCGTTTCCCACAACAAGCCCGGTCCTGGAGCTCATGCAGGACCATCCCCATCTTTCACCTTCGCCCATGTTGCGGCGGCGAACGTCCCGGGCGACGCCCATTTGAGCCCGGACACCAGCCAATCGACCTGCGAGTTGTCGGTTTGTGTTTGGGCATCCACGGTTGGTTAGTTGCACAAAGAGAGCATCTCGGAATGCACGTTTTCGAAACAAACGCATGCCGGCACGCTCACTCCCAACAAACTTCCCCCATGCCTAGAGGACGGACAACTCCGCGTCAAGCTTTCGACACCTAGAACAGGGAAAATCGCGGTCCCTTGCCGGTTCCCTCCGCATATATTTACGACGTTCGAAATCCTTGTTGGGGACCACGCCCGAATCCTGCGTTGGTTCTGAAACACCAAAACGTTCCGCGCCGAGGCGTTCTCGAGACAACAGCCAAAGAAAAGTAACTGGGGGCACCATCTGGGTGTAACAACTTGTAACAACCCTTTTCAAGCTCATGGATGTAACAACGCGTACCCTTTCAAGTCCGTCCAAGCCACCGCGGTCGTCACCGCCGCACAGGCTCTTCTCGAGCAGGAGGCCGAAAGCGACGAGCGCGAAGAGAGCCGTCCTCGCCGAGCGGAGCGGGGGGGCGGTGGTCAGCACCCAGCAGAGGTTCGCCGCGAGGATAAGGTACCTGGGGGGCAAGTTGCAAGCGTTTCGGAACGCGCCACCACTTAAAAGGACTTACCTTGGAGAAGTTAAGAGAAGTCAGGCCTGAGCAGTAACAAAGTCTAACAACCTGGCCATAAGAACAGGTGCGTGCTCAGTCAAGAATCCTACACTAAAAACAATATAGTCGGCGTGAGGGTAGTCTACCCCATAGACAAAAATCGGCCTCTGCCAAAACAAAGAGAAAATTAAGTGGCGGCGGCGCGTTCTATATGCGAAACACTAGTGGTATTAGTGGGTGTATATGAAGTGTGACCACGAAAAAAGTAGGGACCCCTGGAGAGTAGAAAGTCCTAGGTGCGGCTTGTGGATGGACATCGATCGTGTCGCGACCATGTAGTCCATGGCCTTCAGAACACTACCACCGCTCCTGCCCGCGTCCTCTCTCTCGTTCTTTCGATTTGCTTGTTGTGTGATCTCCATGCATCTTCATTTTTTTCTTCTTCGTTTGCTATAAATATCTCTCTGGGGTTGCCCGTGTATCCAGTGTGCTATATGTACTAAACAGATGTTGGCGCACGTGAAAGCCTGGAACCTCGCCCACGCAGAGCTGGCGTTGTCCAGGCAGTCGTGGATAAAACCAATCGTTTCCATTAGGTCGTGATTTTGGTCCTTTGTTGCCCTGTGGACAGCAACAATGCACGACACGGTTGGTATTCCATCGAATAGTATTGAGTGAAGGGTCAAATTGGGCATCAATTGATTGTGCTTAGCGATGGCGCTTCAGAACAGGCCTACGTGCCCACTTTGATGTTAACTTAGAAACACAACAAGCAGCGACTGCCCTCTCCCCCCCCCCTCCCCTTCTCCGGTCCAACCCCAGTCACCATTCACCGGAACCCTCGCCTACCTGCGGTCTTCTTCGATGGCCTCCATGTAAGACGCGAGGTCAGACTTGGCATTGTTGAGCTCGGTCGACAAGCTTGACGCTTGTGTCGCCGCAACGTCCTGCCTTGTAAGCAGACTCGCGAGCAAGGTTTCCTGTTGGTTTTTTTTTGGTCCGAGCGGAGATGTCAGGAGAGGAGAGGGGCTAATGCAATGAGATAGTTCTATATTTACAGAACACGTTTCGAGCTCTTGAGCCGCGAGTGAAGATACACGACCAGGAGCGGAGAAAAAGACGGCAAAGGAAGGTGTGTGGGTGGTATTTCTATGCCTCGCACATGGTTCTATGTGACACCCACTGCATTTCCCATACTGCCTCCACCATGGCGCATTACATCATCAGCAGCGTACTTCTCCAGAGAGCCTACTGGCTGGTCTACTGAGGTGTCCACCAGAAATTAATTGCTCACGATAAGACCAACTGACTGCAGAGACCGACCTGCTTTTCTATCTCCCTCATTGCCGACACCAGTTCCTGAGACAGACTGTCTGAAAGACCCGCTAGCCTCGTGCTCGTCTCGCTCAGCCCGTCGGCGATGCCCTGACTCTGCGCGGAGGCTAGTTCCTGGCCTTTCAGGACCTTTCCCACATCACATGGGCATCATCGTGTTCGTGACAACAGGAGGAGCGAGGCGAGCGAACGAATCAACGAAAAATGAAAATACGGCCAATTTTGCCCTTTGAGTACGGGTTGTTACGATTTTACGGTTTTACGGTTTCACGGTAACCCGAGAGAGCAATACTGGCCATACTACGGTGAAGCAGTAACCCGAGAGAGCTAGCGTCCGGAAGCTTTTTCGGGACGATGACCACGCGTCAAACAGGAATGCACAGGAAATATCGTTTCAGAGTCTCCTGGGTGGCGTAGGTGAAACGGGGTGGTTCAGGGCAGGCGATCGATGGCTTCCTTGAAGCGGTTCGTTTGTGCTCTCGCTCGCAGTTTTTCTCCGCCTGTCGAACGCGAACAACGCAAAGCGCTTGATACTTTAATTCAAAGCGTGTGGTAGTTTTAAACCTAGAGAAACACGACCCATTGTGTTGTTTATATCTCCAGCATAAGTAAACGTCATCGCTGAAACGCGTACCCCAGCGTACGGTTTCTGTTCTGTCACCGCGGTAGCCCTTTACTTACTTGTTCTTGCTTCTCGAGAGACTGCTCTGCCCGGTCAAAGGTAGCCAGGGATGATGCCGTGAGCCCTCGCACCAGCCCTTCGGTTTGCTCTTGCCACACGGTATGCCTTAAGTGGTGACATATAGCGTTCACCTTTTCGTGAGAGGGCAAGATAACCAAGGGAAAGGGAACCAAGAGTCGCACGTAAGTAATTAAGTATGGGTGTGAAGGCTGCCACAGGGAGAGGAGGTATATGCCAAGCGCGATTGTGCAGCAATATTGCGAGTATGCTGCCTTCGGCGGAAAGCTGGAGAACCGATCGCACACATATGCTTGTACATCAACCAATTCTTCGGGGTCCCCGCAACCTGTGACTTGCCGATGCGACGAACGGCGGTCCTTAGAGAAGCAGGAGAGTTGCCGGTGGAACTTGTGTAGCAGGGCTTACGTGGTGAAAGAATGTGGTGTAGCTTTGGAACGCCGCGTTGTCGTCGCCCAACTTCTTTACGCAGGACTCGTCACTGTCCCTGGGGGTGCATTCGATAGGTTTCCGGCCGGAATCCTGTAGATGCCACAGGCGATCACAAGGCAGCAGTACGTGCAAAACAGCTGGCGTATGTCTAGCAGCATGCCCATCGCCATGTCTCGTATTTCCTCGGGACGAACAGGGCACGTGGCGTTGCTCTTGTGGGCACGGTAGTCGCCACAGTACGAAAAATAATAAGTGAGGTAGCACGCGGACACGACACCGCAGAGCTCTTGAGGACAGTCCGTCGTATCAAAGTTAGCCACATCGTAAGTGTCAGTTTGACATGGGAGGATGTGTGCTGTGGGCGTTGTCTCCTACCATTTTCGCTTTTTAAAAAACAACTTGTTTACACGACAGGCCCCGTCAACGTCGACGGTGGTGGAGTTGTACGTGCCGGATGGCGTATCGAGAAACAACGAGGAGAGGGTCCAAGTGCAGCGCGGTACCTGGAGGTGGCAGTTACTGAGCTGGACTGCGAGCCGCTGCTTGCGAGCGTGCGCCATGGTCTCGCAGTCGGCGTCGATGGATACGGCGGCTTGTCTCCAGCAAGCGCTATCGAGCCCTTTCTCCTGAAGGATATCGAACTGAGCGGTCGCAATCCTACGTTTACAAGCACAATGACGAGCGTGCGAAGGTGCATCGTAGCAATGCGCCGGGCCCAGGGTATTGATGGAACAACGCACGCACTGGTTTGCGTTACTCACAGAATTTTCTGAGATGTGGAACCAAAACGTGCACCGTAGCGACCGGCGGCACAGTGGTGCTGTTAAATTCCCTGTATCACCGTGTACGTCAAGATATGACGGCTTCTGATTTTGATCTTATCCCATCTGTTCTCTACTCCAGAGTCCTGACCATTTGGTACTACCGCCGGGGAAACGCAAAGGCGTTTCCCTCCCTAACCATTCTAAATGTTCCTGTTGGCTTTTGACTAAATACGACACTATTACAGTACAAGAACGCAGCAATACGTATTTTGCTCGCACAACGGTAGCGGCGGTGCTTCCATATAACATCATCATCTACCGGGCCAACTATTTACGATCAGTATCGTCTGGGTAATACCGTGGCCCTTGTTGTTCATTCGTCCGCAAATTCTTAACCTTGTGATGTGAGGAAACAGCAAACCAACACGGTAGCTCTAACTGTTTGCTGCGCAAAACCAACTGCCCTCGACAATGCAAACAGGATTCACGCGGTTCTTTCTCCTCACGTGTTGAATACAGAGTACAGCGCGTCGTCCAGCAAGAAATCTCGGCGTATGGTCATGTGAGAGTCACTACCGATGTCGTCAGCTCCCACGGTCAGATTTTCTTCTTCATACCCTTCGGCATCGGCGCCATCCAGAGAAAACTGCGCTCCGATTCCGTGAAATCAACGTGCAGAATGAATCACGGGCGGATGGGTTCGACAGGAGAACACACAAATGACACAGGCGTAAGTTGTCTAGTCTATTGAACGTCAGCCATTCACGTGGTTTGTAGAATGCTACCGGATGGATGCCCCCTCTTGAGGTTGCTGTGCTTTTACATGGTCGACGAGCAAATAATCAGGCCTTCTCTATGCCTCTCCAAAACAATTTAAACGCGAAATGCCTCTGACTGCCTCTACTGCACTGCACAACCTGCGAGGAGAAGGTAAGAAGTCTTACCATCGATTGCATGAAGCCTGCAAGCGGCATGCTCGACGAAGAAGCTACCGGCGCCAGGCAAAGCGCCGCCAACCGCGACCGGTAGCGGACCATTGCTGCGGTTGCTGTTGATGTGGGTCAAAGTCAAACGTTCATTGTGTGCTGCCTTGTCCGCAAGTGTCTTACTTGTCAACAATCTTGAAGGACGAGTCAGAATCGTTTCCGTTGGACAACGACCCGCGTGGATCTACGCTCTAGCCTATCCTCTGGTGGACTGGTTACAAAGACGGCTCGTACTGCTGTAGCAAGCAGAATATTGGTACGTGCCTCCCTCCTCTGCTTTATGGGGTAGAGTGCCGTCGAGCGAAGTATCATGTCGTCATATGTCGAGCGACAAATATGCCACAATATGCGGCACAATCAACCTTCTGAAACCGCCACGTGGGGAACGCAAAAACGCCCATTAGCGAAACTCCAAACGGGACCGTCCCAGTCGACCAATGAGCGAATGAATGCTGCGCTGCCCCAACCCTTTGCGCCGCTCTGTCACAGCAACAACACCGCCTTTACCTTCTCTCCTGACAGTCTCCAGGTGGCGATGCGGCGCCCCAAGGTGTGGACCTGCCTGGCTTTCGCCCTCGCTGTGGTCGTGGCCGCTAAAGGTGAGGTTTCCAGCCAAGACGGCAGGTTTCACGACAATGGACGCGGTGCTGTTGAGCTGCTGCCCGTGAAAGGACATATGATGCTGTATGTCTCGCACTGTTGGCTGTTGGCTATGCATGGCGCCCCTGCTCACAGTTTCTTGCGTAAAAACCGAGAGATAGAACCCAAGCGTGAAGTGGATTCGGAGAAACGTGGGGCAAATGCTTTGAGGAATGTGTGCACAAGGAAAAACCCCGTTCTCTTCAAGGATAATAAATAAAGCGTGCACAGCAGTGCACAGAGATGTTGTCCCTGGCGCGGAATGTTGTGTAGATCTGTAGATCTACAATAGCACGTACATTTAGATGCACAATACCTAAGTAGGTAAATCGCTTTTCTGCTACTTCAGGGGGGCTACCGAAGCCGATGGCCACATGGGTGACGCTCAAGTGTTGCATCCGATCTACTGCTGTCGGCTTCAACCAAACGCCGTTCTACTTACTGGGCGGCGTGTACCGAACGCCCAACCTGCTGCCGCGTCCGTTGCGTTACACCCTACGCCCCCATCTCCAAAACAAGGTAGTGACGGTAGCGCCGAGGAGCAACCAGAAGATGACTCGGCGGGCGCAGACTGCGGTTGCTCTGCGGGACTCAGTCGAGACTCGCCTGGGGGTGGCGAGGTCAGCTCTGGCAGCAGTTCCTCCGCACGTGACGCCGAGACAGCCACGGCAGAGCCAGCGGCAGAGGAGGAAGAAGGACCAGACGGGGCGGCGTGCGATCCCGGAACGGAAGCAGAGGCGGCGGGGGAAGACGCGGCGGGAGGAGGCATGGTGTTGGTCGAGGAAGGGGACTTTCGTTTTGGCACGGACAGGCCCTTCATCATTCCGGTATGACTGCTGTTCATACAGATTTGTAGATTTTGTTCGTTGAGGTTCGCCGGGCTGTTCGAGCCAAAAACACGTCACCTGTCTTTGAGCTTGGGAAATGTCCCACCGCAGCGGGCAGGGAGTTGGTCCTGCTGCCTGCTTTGGTTTCCATCTTGCTTCACCCCTTGATGACGCTGCTGTGCTCTCATAGCCTACTCCGGAGGGATCACCACTTGTGTTACGATATGATGTTGTTTTGAAAACCAACCGGCGTGTTGGGGGATTCGTCTATGCATACGAGGACGCGCTCTTGACCACAATCTCTGCGCGTCGCACGTGCACGATTTCTCCACTGCAGAGTCGGGAGCAGCACCTGCTTAAATTTTTTTTTCCGTATCCCAGCCAACATGACTCCCACACAACGGCGTACACGTGAATGTACTATCGTAGGACAGCTGTGAAGACACACAACCACAACCACGGCTCCAATAGAGACGTAGCTGCGTTTGCATACATGCACTACCGCAGCGGCGGGATGCACCACTTTTTTGCGGGTACAGGGCACACAAATGACAGAACCGCGACAGAAACGAAGTATCAGATGAACCGCCTCTGGCTATCGGGAAGACACAACATGTACCGGCAACCCTATCGCCCACCCGCCACATTCCCACCATCTGTCTGAGAAACCGTCTGACTGCTGAAAAATGAGCACAGCTTCCCCTGTGACTGTTGCGCAGGACGGAGAAGGCCCTGGGCGCCTTACTAGTCTCCCAAGCTTCTACATCGACAGGTTTGTGTGTGTCTGAGTCACAACTGGTTTGTGGGCAACGTCGAAGGGTATACCAAAAGGTACACTGAACAGCGGTGCACGTAATGGTGTGTACATGTAGCAGTGGTCTGGGCAATCAGGTAGTCCACATTTAGAAAAGATGACGGACCTATGAGCTGCTTGCCGTTGGCGGAACCTCACTGCCAACATTTGACTCGTCGAAATCAGACATTGATTAGATGGAGTCCATAGATTGATGCTTGGTGGGTACCACGGCAAGTGACTGCTGTATCCAACAGCCTTACCGCACCGCAGCCGTGTCTTTGGAGGTCTACAGTTGCCGTTGCGTTGCTGGTGTGATGAATTGAGAGCGTTTTCGAAGAGGGGGTTTCGTGGGTACTTGTACCTTCACGAAAACACAGTATGAAGTCTTTCGTTTGCGCATCAGCAGTTTCGACGTGCGGGAAAGCGAATCCCGGCACAACCACGACACGGTTTGTCTTCGGCCTGTCTCCACCGGAACTCGCGCGTGGCCAGTCGCCCAGCACCATCGAATGCCATTGCGCGTGAACACTGCACACACGCACCGCCCGCGCGCACGCACGCACTCACGAAAACAAGCATCTCGTCGTTTTTCCCTCGCCGCCGCTGTGAGGTACTGCTGTGCACATCCATAGTCCAGCCGCCATGTAATACCCATCTGCAATGCTTGCCCTTGCTTGTATTCGCCTGCTGACGGGGATGCGGGATCGGGTTAGGTTCATGGTGACGAACGAAAGGTTCGGTGAGTTCGTCGGCAACACGTCTTACAAGACCGACAGCGAGAAGTACGGCTGGTCCTTCGTGTTCTTGCCCATGCTGTCCATGCGGCAGCAGCGCGAGATTCAGCAGGTGGGCGGGCGAGACTTCACTTGTTTGTCCCAGGAAGACAGAAGACAGGGCGGTGTGGGGGCAAAGCGTTGCAACTACCGCGCGTCCCCGCGCAGCGCAGACGAACTGTCTCTACGATTCCTTCTCTGTGCAGGCGGCGGTGTGGTGTGTATGACACCTGTGAAATGGCCGCGGCGGCGGCAGTAGCAGCAGCAGCAGCCTCGGCATTTAACTCCATACCCGGAGAGGGGTCGATCACCTTCGCCTCCTTGGCGGTGTTGGACGTTTTGCGTGGAAGGCCCCATCATCATGACGCTGCTAGAAAGCGTTCTTTTTGCAGTATCAGCATCCCCTGCTCGTGTGCTGCTCCTAACAAGCGTCCTTTTTGTCGCAGCATCAACATTCGCGGCTCGTATGCCCTCTTCACTGCATCATCTGACACGCTGAGACAAGTTTTTCGTGCCGGCCCGCTATTTTTCTGACATGGACGCTTATTTTGTGGTGCTACAACCGTGTTCACGCCTGCACGATAGCATCCACGTTGTAGATCACCAGCAGTGAAGGACATCATCAGCATGTAGAGAAGTGGTGCGGGTATCTCAACTGGTACCACCAAATAGCATGCTGACAAATGTTTCCCACTTGGAATAGCGTGAAGGGCAGGAAGGGCTCTCGTTAGCCGAATGGTCACGATGAAGATCATCTTGGTGCATAACTCGCTACTATCAATGTTTTCGGAACAGGCGGTGGCGGGCATGGAGTGGTGGCTTCCCGTCGAGGGAGCGTACTGGCGGCGACCAGAAGGCCCAACGACCGACGTATTCCGAGACGGAAGGGGGAACCATCCCGCGACTCATGTGAGCGAACAATTCCGCTCGTAGGCCAGCGGGCTGGTCAGAGTTGGGCGTGGCATGTGGTGGTAGACAACGGCCTGGCCACGAACGGAGGTCGGTCGGGCGCGAGTAGGTGTCGGTCCGTGTTATGCTGTTGTCCTTGGGATGTTTTTGTGGTGTTGTTGTTGTTGGCGTTGTTGTGGTGGTGGTGGTGGTGGTTGGCGAGGCCTTTGTCTTTTGTCTTGATTTACAATCCGATCCGCCCTGGCCTCTTTTTAAGTGAATTGTTGAAAGCAAGCCGACGAATATCGTCGGCGTTGCTAATAGTCCCAAGCTTTTTATTTTTATTTTAGTCGCGTGTTGCGCGTGTGCTGACACCACGAACGGGAAGGACCTTAATTAGCCGACACACTACGCAATAATGGTCGTGATGGACGCGGGTACGCAATAAAAAAACAACACATACATCCGATCCTCGGGAAACACGAAATGCAACGTCTACATACCCCCTCTCCTACTTGCGCACAACGACAACACAGACATTCTCGTGCAATATTCCGTTGTCGGTACCAAAGAGATGTCTTACTACTACGTGTCCACAACGACACCACAGCCAAACACCAACCGATTCGAACACCGCCAACACGTTCGCTCATACATGACGCACAGTACGTACATGCCGTATTATTTCCGTTGCTTCGAAGCAAAACTCATAAAAGCAAAACAAATATCGACAAGAGAAGTGATACTCTCCAGGCTGACTGAAGCTACGTACAACGCCCTGTGGCGATCATTGTGCAGTCCGAGCTGGGTGGTGGTCATGATGCGTCGAGCCGGAACTATTCAAGCCTGTTTATTGGGGAACGAAGAAGAACGGCACGGAAAAAATTGCGAGAAAAAACGGAGGGGAACCGATGAGCGAGGATGGAGGGGCAGGCAGGCAGTAAAAGGAAGACGACGATCCTGTGGGATAGCACGCAGACCACGCACGATGCACGAAAAGATGACATAAAACTGCAACAACAGCAATAAAAAAAATGTACACAAAAGAGGGATGACATAAAAGTGCCCAAAAAATAATAAGAGATGTAGAGGCTGTAAAAAATGAAATAAGAACAGGAAACAAGCATGCAACAATAAAGGGACAGCACAGGAAACAACAAAGATGACATAAAACTGCAACAACAGCAATAAAAAAAATGTACACAAAAAAAGAGGGATGACATAAGAGTGTCCAAAAAAAAAATAAGAGATGTAGAGGCTGTAAAAAATAAAATAAGAAGAGAGGAAAACGAGTAAAGGAAACCAGGAAGAGATGCACCAAAAGATGACATAAACTAGAAAGATGACACAGACAGGTAACAATAGAAAGAAAGGTAAACTACTAGTAAACGAAAGGGAGGGACAGTGACACAACAGGTTATTAACAATAGCATGCAACAAAAAAGCAACCAGTAATAAGAGGAAAAACATCACACAGGAAACAAGCATGCAACAAAAAAGGGACAGCACAGGAAACAAAACAACAGCATTCAATAAAAATACAAACCATCTCACTTTAGGCGTCGTCGTCGTCGTTGACGCGGCGGCGCTTCCGCGGAGTGGAGTTGTTCTCGCGTTTAATACGCTCCTTTTCTAGCTCTTTCGAGACGATGAACAGGATCGCCGCACGCTTCTTGAACTTGCAGTTCTGGCAGAACACGTGCTCTGCCTTTCCGACGCCCATGACGTCGCGCAGCTCCTTCGTGGAGTCACAACCCGAAGCCGCGCAGGTGAAGTCGGACCCTTTCGGCAGATCCTTTCCCACGCACAGGGCCCCGTCCGCGTGCAGGTACACGGTGCGGGCCATCTTGTTGTAGGGGTTTATTTTACCCTTCGGGTGTGGCATACGGAAGTACGGCGCGTCGTACCCGATCAGGTCCTTGCAAAAAAAGCAAGTAAAGGGCTTG